GCATGTAATTTTGCCACATAGGATTCCGAAGCACCAGAAGCAGCCACGTAGGCTCAACGCATTCTGTATTAATATATAGGGGGGATATGCAAGCATTTAATGCATATAGTAAAAAATTTCCAAATAAGGTATGCATTAAATGTGTGTTGACTTTTCTTGCTACTATTTTTGATAAATATGTTGGTTTTTAATATATATATATACAGATATAGATATCGCTTAGCCTTCTGTCCACGTCCACGTGTACTAAAGAGAATAACATGTTAATAAATATGTCTTCAGTGGTAAATGTATATAGATACACGTGTATTTTTTTGGTTTTGTTCTATAAAATACTATAAACTTAGTGTAATATTTACTGATCATAGTTTCACCAGTATTTTTTTTAACAGCTTCGTGAATTTGCTATCACCCCTATAATCTTCAGGTTTTTTTAAGTACTTTTTAAGAGTAAATAACATAGGTTAACACTATGATTTTTTTTTTTCTTTCTTTTTTCTCTTTTATTTGCTATATTATGTTAACAAACCATATACCATTAAATATACAATATAAATTTAGGAGTGTATCAATTTTTTCTTTTATTTTTCTGTATGTAAATTAATTTGCTTTCTGATCTAGTGTGTATAAATAATACCAACAAACTATAATTTAGTCAACAACTAAGATTATAAATTGAAAATTTTCTTCAAATTTAGGTAGTATTTTAGTAAGTGCTAGTATTTATAAATTTATTTAGTATTTAAATAAAAAAATTCTTCAAAAAATAATAACTCATCAAATCTCAAAAGGTGATATTCGTGTTTTTTAGTAAGGTGATATTCATAAAGTATTTTTGTATTAGGTGTATATTTTAATTAAAAATAAATTAAATAAATAGAATAAATAAAATATTCATTCAGTCTAGACAGACTTTCAGATGCAGAAAGACTTCTGGATGTTTCGCGTCTCTCTCATGCCACATAATCAGATGTAGAAGTAAATAAACTCACCGTTGGAGACGTTTTCTATCCTAATGCTTCTATAATTCTACAACTGACATATCATTGGAGATGCTCTTAATGTGAAAATTATTGAATTATCATCATTAATTATTATGTACCAAGGCATTTTCTCATATGAATACTCATACCAACATATATTTTCCTAAAATTGATGGGTATTATTATTATATTTTTGTTTATATTTACAATAATATTTGTTTTATTTATATTTTTTTAATCCTTTTATTTATTATTATTTTTAATTTTATCTGTCTTTCAATAACTTTCACATTGGGAATCATTGTTTATCATCACCTCTTATCAACTTATTTACCAAAGAGTAAATCTCTCTCTCTCTCTCTCTCTATACACACACACATATATATATAATTTAAA